ATATATATATATATATATATTGTTTTTGTTTTGTGTGTGCGCCGCCTTTTCAGCGAATAAAGTTGCTTACTCCCCATCTATATTTCGTGCAACCTCTCTGTCTTTCCAACGAGCCGTTGGACGCCCACTCTGTTTCCTTCTGATGGATGAAGATTGCTGGTTATGTTCCTCGTTGTGTTTTTTTGTTTTAGTTTTCTACTCTATTTGCGTCTCTACCCCTCTTCCTTGTTTGGCGTGGTGACGGGGCGCTGTGATTTAGCACAGCCGTCTGGCAGCCAGTGCACAGCAAGCCACGCGCAGTAGTCACATTTGGCGGTGGGCTGCGCACAATACATTGTCAGAGGGGAAAAGAGAACAAGAAGCATAAACAAAAGGAAGAAAGAGAGGGATTGAGGAGGAGGAGGAAGTGTGGAGTAGGGTCTTCTGCTGTTGTAGTTGCGATTGCGCAGCACCTCTCTCACTTTCACACACACTTTCTCTCTCGTTTGCTCGCTCCTTCTCTATCCTTCCACCGGTATCGTGGTAGTTGTGTTGAGCCGTTGATGCCGGGCAGCAGTGTAGCGCTAGCTCAGAGTATCACGGAGAAGTTTGAGGTGTTCATCTGAGCGTCATGTTTGACAAGCTTGTAGCGGGGCTCGTTACGAGTTACCTTGGGAAGTACTTTGAGAACGTCAATAAGGACCAGGTGAAAGTGTCCCTATGGAGCGGGCACGTGCGGCTTCGGAACCTGCGCTTCCGCAAAGACGCCCTGCGCGCCTGGGACACTTCTCTCTGTGTCAAGGAAGGCTTCATTGATGAGTTAACGGTCGCCATTCCGTGGACACGGCTGCAGTCAGAGTTTGTCGTTGTTGTGGTAAAAAAGGTGCGGGTTGTGCTGCAGCAGAAGAAGGATGCAGGCTATGATCTGGAGCGTGAAAGAGAAGAGGCGTATGAGCGTAGATTATATCAACTCAAGGTATTTGATGCGCTTCTACGTCAAGAGGAAGGGAATGATGAGGAGACACATGTCACTCTTTTCGGCAGCAACCCTGTTCCCTCGGAGGGAACAGAAAGAGAGGTGAACGTAGATGCGCAGAAGGACGCCACGTTTTCCGCCCGTCTGAAGGCAAGCATCCTCAACAATGTCCAGCTGAAGCTGGAGGATATCGTTGTGCAATACGAAGGGTGCTGCACTTCCAGAGGAGGAGGAGGAGGAGGAAGAGGCGTCGCGATCGGAGGCGAGCCGAGTGTTGGCCACGATTATCACGCTCTTGCCATTGTGCTGGAGCGCTTCCAGACCTACGCGTGTGGCTCCAACTTTGAACCGCATTTCACCGCAGCGAAGGAGCGAGTGCTGTACAAGAAGGTGGAGCTGGAGGGCATGCGCGTTCTCCTAAATGACGTTGCTGTGTCGATGCATGCAGCTCACACTAACTACGATAACGATAATGACAAAAAAGATGACCCCCAAGAAGGGGAGGCGGTGATTGAAGAAATAAGCAAATTGTCAAGGCCGATGGCGTCAGCATCGCTCCGAAAGCCGCGCTCTGTGTGGCGTCACCGCATCATCCCCCCTTTTGGGGCTGTGGCTCATGTGCAGTACCAACCCGTGCCGTACCGTGCCGACATTCCGACGGCTCGCATCGACGTGCACGTTGACGGCCTGCGCGCTGCGGTTGGTGGGGAGCAGCTGCGAATGCTTCGCGCCCTTTGGAGAGAGGTGCGTGACGGAGAGGAGTACGACGCGCTGCGCCGATTCCGTCCCATTGGTGAACAACAACAGCGGCCCACCGACAACCCAGCTGCGTGGTGGCACTACGCCATTCAAGCTACGCTGTATTGTGTCCGTCGCCGCCGCGAACGAGGAGTGTTTGTGTGGGAAGCCTACAAAAGGATCAAGGCAGCACGAGAGGAGTACATGGAGTTGTTTAGACGTGCGCGACGGGAGCAGATTGGGGTGAACTGGCTTGCTCCACTCACAGAGGAAGAGGCACGCCGGTACCGCGAGCTGGAGATGGACCTTCCGATAGAATCTGTCAAACTGGCACGGCGCCTCGCCTACCACAGGGCACGCTTAGAGCAAGAGAACCGCTACGCCATATTAAAGAGACGACGGCAACAACAACAACAGCAGCAGCAGCAGGGGGAAGAACACTTAGAGGGGGAACCGGATGTTGTTGCCGTGGGTGAGCCAGTCTCGTCTGTGGTAGAAGGTTCAAGCTGGTGGAGCTGGATGAATTTTTCGAGGATTCAACAGGCGTCTGGTAATGTTTCTGGCACCGTTGAAGAGGACAGCCCGCAGATCCGTGCTGAAATTGAAGAAATGATGCAACTCGTGTACGCGGAGCGTTGGACAGCGGCACAGCGTCTCGCCATTGCCAAAGAGTTCGGTATACCAGAGAACGAGGTTGAGGACCTCGCCGACGCGGGCAATGCATCAAAGCAACCGCTACTCGGTGGCTTGCAGTGGCAGCTGAACCTTCACGTGCATTCACTCGGGCTGGTGCTCTGCGACAACACTGCAGCATCTGTCCCCTTCGCGACGTTAGCGATGGAAGGGCTATCTGCCAGCCTAGCATGCGCTGTGAGCCGTTGCTTTGAATTCACACTTGATGTGGAGGAGTATATAGCTCTGTCCCATTTGGAAGAGCAGTCGTACGTGGTGAGCGTCCTTCGCGTGGCGAAGGAGCGGTACGCCCTCGAAGGTGATGGAAAGGCAGCGATGTCGCTGTCGCTGAAGCGGGTTGGTCCCTGCAGCTGGACGGAGTACGGCAACATAGTCACAACAGCGCCATACGAGCTACGCCTGCAGTGGAACCCGACGGACTTTAGCCTCGATGTGCCGTTTCTGCGAGCCTCTCTTGATTTTTTCTGGGCCTCCTCCACCGCTTTGTCATCGGCGTCGCTGGGCACGGGTGCGTCCAGGACGTTGGAGCAGCGACGGCACCATACCACCGACGCGAAGACACAGCGCACGGTCTTGATGATGACAGTTGAGCGGGAATTTCTGTGCGATTGGAAGTTGCAGGTGTGCGGCCTGCGTGTTGTTGCTGCAGAAAACGAGCGGCATGCCAGCCGTGTCACTCTGCGCCGTCTGGAGGTGCGGAACGATCCTGCGAGAAAGCTTGAGAAGCGGTGCCGCATCCAGAAGGCCAGCAGCGTGCCGCCCACGACTGATGTCTTCGGAGACGATCCAGACGATTGGGTGAATTATGTACACGCCTGCGTGGAGGGTGCGACGGTGGAGTGTCTCTTTAATGCGCCACACTCGGAGACGTTCTGTGGTGGCGACGCCACCTCCGAGCGGCAGTGTGACAGCATTGCCTGCCTCCCACGTCTTGAGATGTGCTTCAAGAAGAGCGTGATGCTGCACCGCAGTCCGTCTGTGCCGCTCCTTTCGCTGTCTCTCACGATGGAGCAGCCGCTGCAGTGCCGCTGTTCACGTCAAAGCCTCTCCGTCCTTTGCACCTCATTCTCACTCATTACCGACTTTTGCCACATCGTGACACAGCGGGTGGCGGTGGCAGCAGCAGCAGCAGCAACAACGACAACAACAACAGCAGAGATGCGTGATGTGTCACTTTCTACCTCTGGCGTATCCTTCCTTGCCAAGGTCTGCGCAGTGGATGAGATGTACCTTGTCGAGCATGAGCCCTCGGCACGGTCGGCGCAGGAACGATTCTACCGCGCTCAGGCGGAGGCGCCTGACGCCGCGGACGCGTGCCGCCGAGTAGAGGTGGGGGTTGGCCGGATGATAATCTATCACGCCACACGGCCTTCTTTTCCGAGTCACTTCATCGAGCTGCAGCGCCGCCATCTGCACGTTGTCCGCGACGCCGCAGAGGTGAGCGTGTTTGTGGAGTTCGGTGGTGTCTCGCACGACTGCCGCAACGGTGTACTGGCGGCGAAGCGTCTGCTCTTCGACAAATGCGGGTTCCCGCCCCTCGAGAGCATGGCGTTGCTCGAGGCCCACGTGGAGGAATGGTGCCGACAGCACAGGGGTCGTGCATCGGAAGAGAATGCAGTGGTGGAGGAAAGGGAAGAAGAAAAAGTGAGGAGGGCGTATCAAATTGTGTGCTGTGCCTCCCGCACGCGTCCGTGCCGTCGCGTTAATCTAAAATGCAGCGATGAAGAAGAGGCATGGCGCCTTGCCGACGCGCTCGAGTTGCATGCAGTTGACCGGCACGTTTTCGCCGTTCCGCCTGATCCAACGCCTGCTGAAGAGGATGACTCGAAGGAAGTGGAAAAGGGGCCGTGCATGCTTGCCATTGATGTAGTCACACCGCAGCTGACGCTGCTCCTCCATGATGAAACGCTTAGCCCTGTTAGGTACATCACGTTGTCACCACCCCACGAAATCGTGCTCACTGCGCCGAAATTCTCGTATGTGCAGCGGAATGAGGAAAGGGAATTTAACATCAGTGCGTCAGGTCTCTCCGTGCTGGCGCGGGCGCGCAGCGTGATGCAGGTGGTAGCTGGGGAGACAGCGGATTTCGCCAGCGAAGACCCATCGATGCATGTGTCCTTCCGGATGAAGCATCGGCCGTACCCCCACGCGGCGCGCAAGTACACGGATATTACAGTCTCAAAGAGCGTTCAGCTGGCCTTCTCAAGTGAGCTGATGTGCGTTGTTGAAATGCTGTGGGATCTCACGGGGATCCTGACCAACCAGATATTTGGTCATGTGGTGTACCCCTCCATTCCGTGGCGTAACGAGATGGAGGCACCAGCAGCGGCAGAAATTGAGGATGTTTGGCGGCTTGATCGAGCAGGTGGACTTCTGCAACAGAACCTCGTGTCTATCGCTGTGGAGCACCTCATTTTCTCATTCTACTACCCGTCCGATGGGTACGAAATGGCGGCAGCATCAACTTTATCGGCTGCTGATGTTGACGGCGGTGAAGTGAAGTGTGGCGCCACGCCCGCGGCAGTGATGGAAGGTTGCAAGGTAGATGTCAACTGGAGTAACACGAATGCCTGTAACAAAATAAGCTGCGTCTTGCAGCGTCCGCGCATGACAATGCTTCATGTTCCTTCAGGAGAACACATCCAGGTGGTACAACCGATGTTGAACAGCACCGATTCTGATTCGAAAAGCAGCATCCCTTTCTGCCCTTACGTTTCCGTGTCCTTCACAATTCACCGCGAGCCACCGATACTCTCGGCATCTGACTTCATTGCCAATGGAGGGCGTGCTGGTTATCGTTACACGCACCACCTCGAGCTCTCGGGAACACACCTCAACATGGTCTACTGGCATCCGCAGTTGTGGGATCTCACCGAGATTCTATCCCGCGGTGTCATCTCCCGTGCGGCAACGCTGGTGTGGAGACAGCCGTACATTGCCGGTGCTGTGGCGCTGCGCTGGCCGCAAGTAGGTGCCCCGATTGCGCCGTTTTCGTGGGCTTTACTGCACAAGCACATCCAACTATCGAACGTCGAGCTCACGCTTCCTCACGAGAACGTCCACGTGCCAGCCGAGCTCTGGGGAGCCGTTGAACTTCTTTGTTTCCAGGACAGGCTTGCTGTGAACAGCGACCAGCACACAAGTGGCCAGCAGCACTGCGTGCGCCATGTCTCGACGCTGACGCTAGAGGGCCTTGAAATTCACGGCCTCCGAAGAAAACGTTATAGTGCCAATCATTCTCCAAACACGGTAACCATAATGAACCGTATGAATTTCCAGCTTGAATTCTCGTATGAGATGTTTCGTGCAGGTGGCTGGAAGGTCCCGCGACTCCGTCGTTTCCGTGTCGTTCTTCCCGATGATGCCGTCTTCTGCGGCACCACACACCAAATCGCTCTTCTCATTGAGTGGCTTTATGCCAACTATATGAGGTTTCCGTGGACCGGGAAGTTTCTGCCTAAGAGAGTATCTGTCGATCCGTTCATCACTGCATGTGGTGGTGGTGGCGCAGAATCCAACTCTTGGACGATAGACGTGGGCTACGTCTGTCTACGCCTGCGGGACCCGCCGCAGGCTGTCCGCTGTGTTGAGGATGCAGCCTCGTTCACAACCTTTGAGCGCACCGCTATTGACATTGCGGTTGTGGTGAATCGCCTCAGCGTTGAGCTACAGTGGGAGCCGAGTGGCGCCTTCTCGTCTCACACCGATGTTGGGGAAGCGTCCGTGTGGCAGATTAGCCAACTGGCGCACAGTCGTGGTGCGTTTCTACGCCACCCTGGCGAGGTGGTCGACGAGTCCTTTCGCTTCCTTTGGTTTCACCATGTGGGGACTCCCGCTGCTTCTGCTAAGACAACAACAACAGCAGTAGCAATGGCGGAAGCAATGGAAGCACAGCAAACGGCAGGTAGAAATGGGAGAAGTGATAATGTTGCAAGGGGTCTACTGGCGTTACAGATTGCGTACGGTGTAACGGTTGAAAGAGGAGAGAAGGCTGTGGTCAGTCGCATAACACTTAACAGCGTCGACGTCACGCTTGTACCGTCTTTTTTGTACAACATTCGCGATTCCATTTTTGGACTGCGCGTCCGAAATGCATTTGGGAGAATGCTTCGTTGGGAACCTCGTGTGGCAGGTGTATTGCCTGATCCGCCGAACCCACGACTTCAGGACACTTCTACAGACCACGGCTACTCGCTTCACCTGCTGAATCTCACGGTGCCACATCTTCCTCGCCGTCATCAGTGCGTGGTGCCTTTGTTTTTCGCCTCCATTCTGAACATAGAGGTCCGAGCCTCCTCGGCGAAGTACGGTGAGAAGAGCGTGTGGTCCATGTCTATTGACAGCATCGTTAATAATGGTATTGTAGTGAGCGGAAGCACATCCGAGAACGGCTTAAAGCTTCGCCCTGTCTTGGTGCCGCAGTTTCGGGGCCAGCGCGGCGGAGATGCAGAGAAGGCGACTAAACTCTTTTATGCAAGAAAAAGGGAGGCGGGTGGTATCGAGGGCGTCCTCGCCTCCGTTTGGATTGTGGTTCCGCTCAAAAAGGAGATATTTGCTTTGTATAGGGTCTTTTCGAAGGGCGAGTACAAGCAGCTGCAGTGGCTGGTGACATATTTGGAAGAGCGGCGGGCGTGGCGGATTGGCACGCTGCGCAGCAGCACACATGGCCAACGGCTTCCAGTCCGCTTTGCCATCAAGACATCATGCGTGGTGGTGGCGGACCATGAGTCAGTCGTCGCTGGCAGCCCTAATCTTGGCCGCGGCGTAGTTTACAACCTTGGAGACACCACAATCAGTAAGGACGTTGATGGCGACGGTGAATTTCATATCGCGCTCAGTGCTGCAAACGTCAAATCGTTGCAGGATGACACACAATACGTCTTGAAGCCAATGGGAGTTGACATTTCTGGACGGCTCCAGGGGGATGGGATGTGGGAGGTGCAAATACGCGTTGATGCGATCGCCATTCATGTAGAGCAGTCCCTGTATGAGCTTCTGCTGTACAGTGCTGTGAGACATTTTGTCGCGACGGAAGCCGAGTTACTGGAGGCCACTGCCGCTGATGAGGAGGAGACCACCATCCTCCCCCACCTGCCAATGGGTGACACCCTTGTGTCAGCTGCTTCTGTAGTAGCAGGGAGTGCATTTTCATCATCGCGAAAAAAAGTGAGCCTTCGAGTACAAATTGAGTGGGATTCCTTCACGCTTCATGTGTTGCGAGACACCGTCGGATTTTTTGTTGAATCGGGAGAAATGACTGCATTGTACGATTCACCTGCGCCGGACAAAACGCTGCGAGACAACAAAAACAACAGCAACAGCCCAAAGAGGATACATGTGAGTCTGACCTCCGTCACACTGGGTATGGACGACGGGGTGCACTTCCTGAACTTGCAGCCACTTCTGTCATCTTCGACTGACGAGGCTTCGGCTACTGTTGGCAAGGATCAACGTCTCTCGTTCCGCCTCGATGCACGCAACAAGGAGGAGGATATACATGTGAACTTTGGCAAAGCTGTAGTGTTTCTAGAGACGAACACAATGCTATCTCTGCTCTCGACGCTATACGAGCCTTACCGTAGGATCGTGCTTCCGGAGTACCGTGTACTCGAAGTGAAGTATATTGATAGTAACGTCATTCTACGGGAGCGGCTTGTGTTGTCGAAACGCAAAAAGGTGCGGGTTGTGCGGGGGCGTTACAATCACATTACTATTGATGGCAACGGCCATGACATTCACTTTATCGACGCAGGCTCACCGCTCTTGTCACTCGGTGAAGGGCTGACGCTCCGCATCATTAATGCACGCATCCATCTGTACGGCAAGGCTATTGAGTACTATATGGCGGCAGCCAATGGCTCGTACGTCGTTGCAGATGCGACGCATAACACTATTGTTCCCTGTGTTCGTGACCCGATGGGCAATGCTCGTAGCACCAGCAGCGAGCTGGATCCAAGTGCGTCTGACTCTGACAGCGGCGGTGAGTTATCGCGTATACGTTCGGCTCACTGCAGTGTTTCTGGCGGCGGTCCGCTTGATACTGGGAATGAGGGCCCCCAGAATAATGGTAGTAATCGAGCTGCTGCTCCTCTTGCACCTTCTGGGAGTGATAGAGGTTGTGATGTTGAGGATGTGACTCGGCGAGTCTTGGGGAACGCCGTACTACTGCTGACGGTGCCGGAGGTGACAAGTGAGTCCTTGAGAACCGCGCGTCTTGCGCCGCAGCCGTCGCGTTCGCTGGTGCTGCTGGCGACGATGTCCGCCCGCGTAGAGACCGTGCGGCGTGGCAGTTGCGTTGAAGAAACCGGTACATTCGACCTCAGCGAGTTCGCCATGCGTTCCCAGTACCTCGACGCAGGCGGCTGTGTAACGGACGTCAGCCCACTTGTGTCAGAGTGGGAGGTAACGTTGCATACACACGCGAAGGGGCAGGCGAAGGGCCCGCTGCGGCGAAGCGTCGACGTGAGGTGCTCACACGGGATCGACATCCGCATCCGCTACGGCGACGTCTCCTTCTGCTGGCGGGCAGTGCTGCAGGCGCGGCAGGCGCTGGGGCATATTGAGACCAACGTGCTGGACGATGCGGTGGGCAGCACAGAGTTCTCGTCGCTGGTGGCGCAGCAGTTCCCTGACGAGCCGCTGGAGAACGGCACAACGGTCTTGTCGTTCAGCCTGCGGTACATCAGCGTGGACGTCGTTGATGACAGTACGAATGTCGATATCCCTCTCTTCCGTGGCCGCATCGAAAACCTCATCACACCGACGGCGGTGAAGGATGGGTCAATGCTCAAGCTGCACGTTTCATGCACGTGCAGTATCATTTTCTACAACTTTACCTCCTCCTCGTGGTGTCCGTTGTTGGAACCCGTCTTTCTTGATATCGTCTTGCGTCGGGAGCCAAATGTTTCGCTGGAGGATGTTAAACAGCGAAAGGGATCATTGCGAGCGGGACTTCATCTACGTGCGATGCGCGTGCACTTCTCGACGATGATGGCGGAGAATCTGCGCCGAATTTGGCTGCTGAAGGAGCGACTTGAGATTTCGCTATTCACAAGGAAGGGGAGAGGGAGCAACACTGGCAATAGCAACAGTAGCAGCCAAAACGACAAATCCACGGCATTATCGGCGTCAAAGCTAGAGTTTTACACGTACAAGGTAACACAGCACGTGGGAGGGAAATTGGAGATACAATTTGCGCACGATGACCAAAACCGTTTTCCCCCACCCTGTGTTCTAAATACTCGAGAATCACTTCAGTTCAACTTTCCCCGCATTGAGGGGCACGAGCTGCCCGCCTCACAGCACTGTTTGCTGGTGAAGTATCGACACAAAACGGAAATCGTGAATGTCGCGAGGACGGGGCGGAGCCTCGTCTGCCTCGGGCCCGACACGATGGGCAGCCAAATGGTGGTGGACGTCACTGTGGCAGAGGGACAGAAACTCGTCGACTTCCGCACAAACGTGGCATTCCGGAACGAGCTTCCCTTCGCGATCAATATCGGTGGCGTGGGGATAATAGAGGCCAATGAGGTGCTCCACGTGCCGGTGGAATGTCTGCGGCGGCGCACTTTATTCACGCCGCTCACGGGACGCAGGTGCAGCTCCGCCTGCTCATTGGGACTGAGCTATGATATGCTGCCTCATCTGTACGAACAGGACTTTCTGTGCTTCTGCACCCTTGACAATACGGAACAGGTGGAGTCGGCGAAGTTTACACGTGCCTCCAACACCTCCTTGCAACAGGCCGTCTTTTTCCTCCTTCGCTTCGGCACGAAGAGCTACGTTGGAGAATCGACACTGTTAGATTCCAGAGGGACCTTCGAGGCGGCGTTTTTCATCGTCAACGGTATGGGTGTGCCGATGCAGATTGGTCTCATGTACTGCGCAAAATCAAAAAGGCGCCGTCCATTTCTAGACTTCTCTGACAGCAACTATTACGAGCACATTGTAACGCTCGATATCGCAGCGGAGCAACGCTGCGCGATCACGCAGGTGAGCCCGCTGAAAGATATCTACGTTGACGTATTCATTGCACAGGCAAACGGGGAACCGATGGGGCGAGCGTGGAGCGGCAAGGGAAAGCGGCAGCCGCCTGCCCTTGTGCACACAGCCAATAAGCGTAACCGTGACCGCAGCATTACACTGCATGACTCGCGCGGTGCTACTATTATCCTGCACATTGAGTACACGCCTCGGGTGGTGACTATCTGGTGCCCCTATTGGATTGTGAACCACACTCCACATTATCTCCAGGTGTCCGACGTGCGGAAAGGAGCGCAGGTTGCAGGTCTGCGCAATGAAGAGGGAATCACACCCGGTGGTGATGCCGCGTACCTCGTCAACTCTGATCGCATTGAGAAGCTGGGCGACAAGTCACACTTATATCTGCGCATTGGGCGACACTCTTCGACCGGCCTCCTGAAGTGGACCTCGTGGTCCAGTCAAGTTCCCATTGGGGCCCTGCAGGAGTGCGGTGTCGTGAACTGCAACTGCACCAAGAAGGTGAGTGTGTCGTTGTCGTACTCTGTAAGGTTTCTTGGTGGACGTACAAAGGCGACACGAGTCATCACCTTGAGCCCTCGATGGATTCTGGAAAACCATACTGACTTGCCACTCGCTTTTCGTCAGTGCCGAATCACACTGGAGGATGAGAGCAACTCACTACTACAGTCCGTCGTGTTAGCACCCGACAACAGTCACATTGTCGACTTCAGCAGTGAAGGTGAGGCGGCGAACGCCATTCAAGTTAAGTTACCAGACAATAAGGAAGCGGGTATTCAGTCCTGTCAGTGGTCGCAGCCCCTTGGCATCGACACACTGGGTGACGAAGCATTTAACTTGCGTTACGAAACAAATCTTAAAACACGCCCACACAGTGGCGTTGCGTCCAGCACAAATCTCGTAAGAAATATTTGTGATGCAGATTGTGAACAACTGTGTGTCACACGCGCTGGTTCTGATGTCTTGATGGTCTCGTGCTATCGCCGTGGTAGCATCATGCACGTCGTTGTCTCTAGGCCCCAACGACCACCATATGTTGTTGAGAATCGTACCATGTACACGGTGTACGTGCGGCAGCGGGATAGGCCACAACACATGGTTCTGTATCCACGTACCACCCGCGGCTTTGCGTGGGAAGATGCCAATTCACGGCCGGTGATGGAGTTGTGGGCAGCGGAAGTCCCGGATACGCGAGTGAAGCCTGTCCTTATCAACTTTGAGCCACAGGCTGTGGTGAAGCGAGGTGAGCAGTTGCATCAGGAACTTCATCTTCCAGGCGGTGTTGTTCTGTTTGTACGGGTACGTGGATTGGGCCGTATGAGCTACGCCATTAGTGTGACTACGGAGGATGCCATTGACGCCTTCTGTTCCCTCCCTTACTTTCAGTACTTCTTTCAGCTGGAGGTGGACAGCGTACACGCACTTCTATCCGACGAAAATGAGGATTTTATTCTCCTCACAGTGAAGCCGGTGCAGCTCTCCCTTTCGCAGGGCAAAGAGGCTGATGGTGGCAGCGGGGATGACCAAGTCTTTGAGTTCTCCCTTCGTGTCATTCAGATCGATGATGAACGTTCTTGTGCGAAGCAATGTGTTGTAGCGCAGTTGGTAGATGCCAAACCCTCCACGATTCGCTTTGCACGAAAACTTCTCCGCTCAGCACCCATCTTGTACATTAAAGAACTTCTTATCAACACAAACTCCATTGAGATGCACCTGGAGGACTCGTTTATATTTCATGCGATGAACTACTGGGAGAGGTTACGTGTCGCACTCGGCTGTGGAAGTACGACCACAATTACACGTACACAACTCGGTGACTCTTCGTGGACATCAGAGCTCGTGCTATTCAAGAAAGGGAAGTACGTGAAGGATGAGTGGAAGCAGTACGTAGTATTTATGGATCATCTCCTCATTGAGCAGGTTACCATCTCCATCTCGCTCTACCGCTCACCAGGGGCGCAGAACGATCCCATGTGGGAGCGTCTGGGTTACTTGAGTCTCTTCATCCGTTCCGTACAGGACGCACGTTTTGTGTGGCGGCGCATTGAACAACGGGGTGTTTATGAGACCCTGTGGCTGATCGGTGTCTCGTACTCTTCATACTACAAACATCAGGCGTTTCAGCAGATGCCGAACGTTGTACACGTCGTCGGCTTGGATATGATGCGTGGTTTTGTGACGGATCTGCTGCAAGGCTACTTCTCGTCCGCCGTTATCACGAACATTGGTCGGACCAAGGTACGTGTCAAACGTCGAGCGGAGGCGCACTTTATGGATGATGAAAAGCCGCTGGAAAATGAGGAAGAAGTCATGGTTATTCAAAGCCTTGGCGAGGATCAAACGGAGTACCTAGACAGTGGGGTTGCACTCTTCCTTCCACACACTAATGGTCCGACGAATTTCATGGAGACGGAGGAAGTGTGCACGCCGGCAAATTCAACGGCGCCCAACCGTGGTTCTGCGTCGTGGGGATCTGCTGACGACCACGTCTTGATGTCCTCTTTGGTACGGCACAGGGCCAATATCATTGAATTAGCGCTGCGTTCACCATGGAGCGCATTCTGCGCGCGTGTCAATGATAGTGAGCTCCGTGAGTATGGTGTGTTTGCCGTTCAGCGCCTTCTGCGAACGCTGGAGTTTGTCAACGCTGCCTTGTTGCAATGGCAGCTGGATGACCTCGACTCAGGTAGAGGAAAAGGGCGCCGAGGTGGTGAAGATGGTAGTTCTGCACCGAATGCTAGTGGGCAATGTGGGCGCTGTGAGGAAATTGAACTCATGCGGGCGCGGCATTTTGAGTCTGATAGCTTTAGTGTGCTGCCACACCCCTCGTCTGGTCTCATTACGTGGGCAGAATTCGCCCACCACATCTCGTGGAGCGAGTTTGTGCAGATCTGCCTGTCATCGGAGGTGCGGCAGTACGCAGGGATGGTGCTGCGGTCGCTGGTGGGGAGGTCAAAGAATGTGATGCGCCTTGACGATGGTGAGCAGTGGATTCTGGACGTTGAGGAAAGGGTATGAGGGGTGCCTTGGCAGAACTCTGGGTGGTGTGTTTTTATGCGTCTGTGATTGTGGGTAGCATGATGGGGAAGGTGCTTGTGGTGCTGCGTGATCCTTGCTTGTGTGCGAATGGAATAGTTGGTGCTGTGGGAACATGATTATGTACTTGCGGTGCATTGGGAAAGGAGCGGTTCTGCACCAGGGGGGGGGGGCGTACACAACATTTTCCTTTCTTTTTTTTTTTCCTTCTTCTTCTTCCTCTTCTTGGCCTACAGAATTTTTTGTTTTTCACGATCCCCTCCCACGCTTACACACACACTTACCATCGTCCTATAGACTATCAGACAACCTGGTAGTAGTGGTAGTGTGTTCTCCTGTTTGCGTTTTTGTGTGAAAAGAATAGCGCAAGCGAGTATTGGTATTTTAGGTGCATGTCCCCAAAAGGGATGGCAACAAGGAGTATGCAACTCAGCTTTATAGCAACCGGTGCAATGAGTCAACGCTCAAAAAACGTGGACGTGAGCCCAGCTTATGAAGAAAAAGACTGCCCGTTGGAGCTCGGCACCGATGAAATGTTATGCGCTGAGAATGGTTTTGCCTCACCATCCTTTTTTCCGCACAGCACACAAAGCGACAGTGTGTGTGGGTCGTCGCTTTCGTCCGTCTCTGGTATCTCGCTGGCGACGCCGCGGTGGCGGTACAACCGACATGCGTCGATGGTGTCGGGTGCCAATTGGATGATGCCGGAGGAGCCTCTGGAGTGCGACACGCCCCTGGGCTGGAGCAGTGCATCTGTTGCAGCTGCGGTTAATTCTGCCACTGCGGTAAGCAGCGCAGAATGCACGTTGTGTGGCCAAAGCCTCGCATGCGACACATGCGCTGGGTCATTGATTCATCGATCCGGTAGACTATCCTCGAAGTGCAGGACATACGATGAAGCTGAGAAAGAGCCCTCTGTTGACGCACTTGCTGTGGGGATGTGTCGGCCCAACGGCATCGCCCCGTGAGGTATGTGTGGCGAACGCAAGTGCAGCACCTGCTACTGGTGTCATTCGCATGTATGAACGCCAACACATTGTTACTGGCCTTTCCCCAATAGCGAGCCCGCAAAAAGCTAGACAGGAGCGTGAACCACGCCGTATGTAATTAACTGTTGTAGCGTGGTGGTCGTATTGAGTTGTGGTGGGTATAGGTATCAGAGCTATTTTTATTCGAAATGGACACTTTTTTCGCAAAGATCGCTCCCTCTTTGGCCCAGGGTCATTATCTGTGTGGTTTATGCTGCGAATGATTAATGTATCTATTTTCTTCTTTTTACCTTGTTTTTCTGCACATCTGAATCCCCTTCCTGCAGGATTGGAAAAAATTATTATTGTGTGTCTGCCACCTGCGCGTAAGTTGAACTTCACATCTTTCTGAACATCTCTCTTTCTGTGTGTCTTTCTGTTTGTACTTTCGTGTGCGTGTGTGTAGGTATTTTCCTACCAGTATGTTGTATTTTAAATTCGTGTTGGGCAGCAGGAGGTATGGGCATCGAATGTAGGCGGCGGCGGCTGTGTGGCGCCGCGTTGCTACGGAACGCTGCCGTCACACATGCACACACGCACACTTGTACACTAACAAAATCAAGTGTTGTGTTCTTGGCTCGTTTGACTAATTTTTTTTTTTCCCCACCCCACTTCTGTAGCTTGAGTAGACATTACGGATGCACACCGTGTATCGTTCAACAAAAAGGAAAATCGCTTCTATCAAATCAAAAACAAAGCGGATCAATACCCACTGCAAAGAATTTACATACGACGAAGGTTTCTTTCTCATCATCCCCCCCTCATTGTGTTATCTGTGTATTCTGAAACTGTGCCTTTTTTTCGTCTCGATCTGCGGTACGGAAAGGAAGAGAGTTTTTCATAATTCTTCCTTCACGTAGGCACAGGTCCCGCGCCACCAAGCTGTGTTTTGTTTGTTTTTCTATCTGCGTATGCTTGTGTGAAGCTGGCGGCTCAGTTGGTAAAGGAAGAATGCAAAAGCGTTAGAGGAATGATACATATACATATATATACCATTGCAACTATGTATGCGGGCGTATATTTCCCCCTTGGGCGCCTGTGTGCCTCTATGTGCCCTGTGTANGCGGTCGTTTACAGCGCGTGAAGAAACTTCAGGTACTCTTCATATATCCCCCCTCCCCACACATACAAGAAAAAAATTCAGTTTGTTGTTTGTTTGTTTGTTTGTTTTTGAATCAAGATCGTTTTTTTTGATCCATTTGGATATCTAATGAAGCAAACCTCCCACTGAACCTTCACCCCCTCAGTACTTCTTGCACTTCTTAGTGAGGCGCGCTACTTCTATGTGCAGCATTGTGCCAAACGGAGTCTCTGGAGCGTTCGCAGTTCAGAATATTCGTTCTTCTGTCTACATAAGGGTGCCTGCTGCAACACGGAGTGGTGGAAAGCGTCATCCCTGTTGCTGCCGCAATATAAGTGCGTAGAAGTGTTCTGGGGGTGTGGAGGGGAACAGCCGGAAACAATTGAAGCCAGTGTGGGGGGATTACATCCATGCATACATATACATATATATACCATTGCAACTATGTATGCGGGCGTATATTTCCCCCTTGGGCGCCTGTGTGCCTCTATGTGCCCTGTGTATGCGGTCGTTTACAGCGCGTGAAGAAACTTCAGGTACTCTTCATATATCCCCCCTCCCCACACATACAAGAAAAAAATTCAGTTNATCCCTGTTGCTGCCGCAATATAAGTGCGTAGAAGTGTTCTGGGGGTGTGGAGGGGAACAGCCGGAAACAATTGAAGCCAGTGTGAGGGGATTTTATATATATATATATATATATATATATAAGGAGGCGGCTCAAAATAGGTCCTGTGACGTTCTACCTCTTTTTATCTGCTGGACAGTAGAAGTGGGGTCAGAAGCGACGAATGGAGCGGGTGGGTTCTATTTTGCGTTCAACTGTGTGCTGTTGTTCCCATTAGTGATTATTATGCGCTCTTTTTCCTAGATGCCTCCATGATGAATGCGCCGCAAACAGTAGCAGATATGCATGGTAGATAAAATAATTAAACAAGCAGAATGGGGAAAAAATTACCGAACGAGTCTGTCGACCCGTTTATGGACGCTCTAATGTAATTTTGTCTGTAGCGGGATCCAGGCGTGTCTGGGGAGACAATAGGTGTTCTTGGTACCCTCCTTCGGTATTCTGTCACCTTACATGCTCTGTTATGATGGGTATTGTTTTTTTTTCCTTTAGCTATCCTTCTGTTTCTCTCTTTTTCTCTCATGTTGATGTTGTTTCTATGTGTATGCATGCGTTTCAGCGCATTGCTGGAAAAGTGAGTGAGGGGGGTCGTTTGATATGCAGCAGCAGCGTCCTCCGCGAGCGCCGTGGGGCCAAGTCAACTCCAGTAGTGCACGCCAACAACAGCAGCAGTCGTCTGCACTGTTGGTCAGACCCGCTAATGTCCCGCGACCTGCCTTCACGGCGACAAAAGCAACGCCCCGCCGCACCGATTCTGTGGAGATGAAAGGCAAGAGGAGTGCATTTGAAGTGGCATACGAGGAGTCCCTAGCGCAGCTCGCGCTGCTGCAGCAGAAACTGGAACAACAGGCCGCGGCCTCACTCCAGCTGGAGCGCAACACGCTGGAGTACTACTACACGAATGCCATATGCTTTGAGAGCTACGATGGCGAACGAGTACCACAGCAGAACAGTGGCTGGCATCACTACTACTTCACTAGTGTCATAAGCCACGCCAGGCGCGAGCGGCGAGAGAGACGCATGCGCGAGGAGCTGCAGATACAGGATGAACGGCGTCGAGTGCAAGTGCTTGAAGACGATGTGCGCGAGCGCATTCTCAAGGGGGCGCTGGAGGAGCAGCGAGGCGGTGTGGCCGAGGTCGAGGCGGACAACAACACGTTGCAGCAGCATCTCGCACAGAGGGTGGCGGAGGGGCAGCGCTGCCGCGAGTGCCTGCAGCAAGAGCAGGAGAGGCAGACGGCGCTGCAGCAGCAGCGAATGGACTGCGAGGCGAGGATCCGGAAGCTGGAGGCGGGAAAGCGGGAGCAGATGGAGAACGCGGACGCCACGCGCCTGCAGGTGTGCGAGCAGCGCGCAGAGCTCGCGGTGGCGCAGGCGGAACTGCAACGGCGCGAGAAGGTCGTCAGTGACCTGCGTGAGGCGATTGGGCGACTCACACGGAAGCGAAGGCAGCGCGGGTGAGTGGGGAGGGTACAGAATCTACCTTTCTCTCGTTTGCTTAGCGTTGTGTGGTGTTGTTGTTGTTGTTTTGCGTTTTTGTCGTCGTTGTTGATATTAGATGCACAAGAGAAGCAGTTTGTTGTTTTAACTCTTCCTCTAGTTTCATGTATGTGTGTTTGTGTATGTGCCTGAGCTGCTGTCTTCACATTTCATACGGCTCTCTTGTGGCAGCGGCACTCCTCTGTCTTCTCTCTCTCTCTCTCTCTCTCTTGTCCCCGGTTGTTGTTTTTTGTCTCTGTGTGTTGAAGTAATTGTCCTTGCTTTCCGTTCTTCTCGCACGAGGAGGGGTAAAAAGGAGAGCGCGAAAAAAGAAAAGAAAAAGTCAGGAAGAAGGGTGGTCAGTGGCTGTTTGTTGTGAGGGAGCCAGAAGGAAAGGAGAAGCGGCACACTCTCACCCAGGTGATTTCGGCTCGCTGCGGTTTCTCTCATCTCCTCGCATTGCAGGCACACATACACGCACAGAGAGGGAGAGAGAGAGGGGGGGGAGGGAAAACGCTAAAGGGAAGGGCAAGCAGAGAAAAGGGCACCCAACGGATCATTGTCATCAATGAGTTCGGAGAGCCTTTTGTTGCAGCAGATCGGCAACGCTTGCCGTGACGGCTTCCTTAGCGCAGCGGTCGTGGCGGACATCAAGACCTACTTGGCCGCACCCTTTAGAACGAGCAGCGCTGTTCATGCTTCCGCTATCACCGCCACTACTACTACTACTGCTGCTCCCGCTTCACAAGCAGCACCGGCGTTTGGTGTTTCTGGCGCAATCGGTACTTTTGCTGGCCTTTCATCCGCCACTGCTTCACAGGTACAACAGCAACAGCAGCGGCTTGCGCTCTTGGGTGCAGTGGGGGATAGTCCGGCGACTCAGGCTGGTGCACTTGACGTGGTGAACGAGCATGTGACGCGGGCAAGATTAATGCTTAGTCTCCTCGTGCTTTGCGGTGAGCCTGAGCGGTTGGGCGGCGTCAACGACGCGATAGCGATCGTCGCATCGGGTGCAGCCATCAACATTCTGCAGTTTATCAAGGCAGAGGTCTCGCCCGCAGCGTTGTCGCCTCCCAGCCACGGCTCGNTCGGGTGCAGCCATCAACATTCTGCAGTTTATCAAGGCAGAGGTCTCGCCCGCAGCGTTGTCGCCTCCCAGCCACGGCTCGGCCTCCTCCGTCTTCGCCTCGCACGGCAAGTCGAACCCCGTCCTACTCGCCGCGCAGTGCCTCCTGCTGCTCACGCGGCACTTCCAGATGGAGGAATCTTTCGTCCGGGAGCTCTGCGGGCTGCTGGAGTTGTTGCTGGAGGAAGTGCGGCGGCACACACACAACACCCCCATGAACTCGGCGTCGTTTCGCCAGCATCCATCTACCGCTGCTATCTGCGCCGTGACGTGGCTCGTGACGGCATCGCTTGTGAATGCCCTGACGGTCTGGAGAAAACTGCGTGACTCCTTTGGTCAGACCAAGGCGAACGTTCTAATTCACAGTAACATTGCAGCTGAAGTGGAAGGGTGGGTGGCGAAGCTGCGATCTAAACTGAAACACTCACAGACGTCAGGGTCACTATCATTTTCCGCCAGTGGGCCCCGTGCGACTGGCCAGCAACAACAACAATATGATGCGTCCTGGCATGCCAGTGATGGGCAGCATAAACACTGGATGACACTTGTGGATGGCTACATCAGCATTGTTGTGCTGTCGGTCGGTGTTTTTCTGTGTGGAAAGGGCGAAGAGCGTGGTCTCGACAAAGTGGTTGAGGCGTTCATTGGCGATCGCCTGCAGTCGCCCAACGCTGTGTACCGTGGCAAGGTGATGAAGTATTTCGTGCAGCTGGCACCGGCGCAGGCCACGCTCATCATTCCACTGGATGCCGTCTACATTGTTCCGTACGAACTAGCAGCGTACATGTTTGATGAAATGCTTCCTGCAATTAAGCACGTGGCAGATATTGATGTACGTTCATGTGTGCGGTACTTGGAGACGTTGCAGGCCGGCACAGAGGCCTTTCCGAATGATAAGGCCAGAATTGCACTGGGAACAAGAGGAACAACAGCAGCAGCAGCAGCAGAAGGAGGAGGAGGAGGAGGCATGACAGCAACGGGGGGCTTGCAGATGTACAGTGCGGAGATGGTGGTTCGAGACTACGAGGAGCCGTTCATATCGGAGACGGCGCACATTCTTCAGGCACTCACTGTTTGCCTCGAGAACCTCCCGTCCGAGGTCCTGGACCCTGACATGGACTCCGACTGCGCCGTAACGTTCTTCATCTTCAAGAACTGCGTCACACACATGCGGTCTGTATTCCAGACACAGCGGCCGAATACGTTGTGGGAACCCTACACGCTAAAAATCGTGACACGATTTCTGGACGCGTTGGCGATGATTGGGCGAAACCCGCAATACACGGAGCGTGTGGTCGCGCTCTTCAGTGAAATGCAGGTGGAATGCACGGAATTGCAGTGGTCCTCGCTCATTGGACAGGCGCAGGAGTGCGCTGGTGTGAACGGTGGGGTGGGGTCACTGCTTTCGATGGAAGTTGGTGGTGCCAGCACAGTTCTGAAGAAGCCGTCTGGCGGCAACGTCTCACGTCATCGTCAGTTCACGCCGGAATACCTGCTGGCAAAGCAGCAAGCATACGTTGCTAGCGTATTCGTGCTCCTGCGCCAGATAGCCACGCACCCACCGCTGCGCGATCAAGTGCGAAACTACGTGACACTCAGTCTTGCCCTCGAGTTTCTGTACGCGCCGCGTCTGTCACAGGTAGTGCTGGGGAAGGTGCTCTCGCTCATCGGTTCACTCATCACCAATCACGAAGAGGCGGAACGTGTGTGGACGTTCATCGAAGAGAATCATCTGCTTCACCCCACCACCGACGCTGCTGCTGTTGCGCAGGGGCAACCGAGCAGGCGAGTGGACAGCAGCAGACGTGGCAGTGCCAGCGAGAACAGCGATGAGACTGCCGTTACGGTGGAGGCGCGGTCGCTACTCGGGCACTGCCAGTATGAGTGCCATCACGCAACTTACAGCATCACCATTGGGTTTCTGGATCTTATGATTGCAATGTTCAAGCACCACGTGGCAGAGATGGCGCATGTTCCAACGTACACGATGGTAATACGCTTTATTGCAGAAGAAATCTTCCGAGGCGTTCTTCGGCGATTCTTTTCATCTGTCCATGAACGCTACACTGTGGCTGCGCTTGCCGCAGCCGCGCTGAACCGTGCGCTCTCGTTGCGTCTCATGCTGACGGCGAACACAAGTATGGTGCCATTCACGGTGGTGATGGCGTGCTCCAAGGCGCCAGCAGATGTGTTGGGTGAGGCACTGCAGATAATCTCTGAAGCTTCAGGAGCTCCGAATGAACTACTTAACTACCAGCGCGCCGCTGTGCGTCAGTGTCTGGCGCTGTTGAAGACAGCAATAGTGGTGAAGAGGGAGCAGGGACTAGACAGCCTCTTCACTTTTGATGCCAGAACGGCAAGCAACACAGAGCTCGCCGTCCATCTGCTGCCATTGAGTGCGACCGTTGACAGCCTTTTGGCCAAAAAGGCGCTGCAGCTTCTCCTGTTGCTCCCTCAGCCCACTGTGAGTCAAGCCGCGCGGCACTGGTTCAGTCGCCCCGACGCACAGGAGGCGGTGATCACGCCNTTTGTGGCGGCGCTGCGTGTAGAGGCGGTGAACGGCCCCATCATTCACGTCCCGCCTGCACTTGCAGACCTTGACCATGACGAGATGCAGTTCTTTCTGCCCCACGCCGAGGTGGAGACTAAGTCACTTATCATGGACCTCCTTATACAGCACGCGCGGGCCCCGCAGACCTCCATCACCTCGTGGTTGTGCGGTTACCCGTTGTACGGCTCCTCAGCAGAGTTGTTGCCTGGCTATTGTCTCGAGCCTGTCATTGCAGGTGCCAACAACAGGGAGGTGGAGGAAACTCACCCGCACATTGCGGTAAAGTATGTGAAGCTCTTGTGCCTTCTCCGCGCCAACCCGTCCCTCAGCACACCCAGCCTCCATCGCCTAATGAAGAGGCGTGGAAACGATGAAATGTTTTACGTTCTGCAGACCCTGCGTCCCGATCAATGCTCGTCACAGATCATGAGCAAATATGCGTATGTGATGAAACTCCTTGCACTTGATGTCTTCAGCATCGGGACAAATACGGTTGGTGAGCTTGATGGTCCTTCACCTGTCTTGTCGAACTCCAGTTTGATCGAACTCCTCTTTATTCTGCTGCGGGCAGCACCAGAGATGATATTTGGTGTGGATGAATACGCTCCGCAAAGCCAACTCGACAACAACAACAACAACAACAGTGCAAGCGTGGCGGCGGACTTTGCGCAGTGGCCGTCATTGTGTCTCAAGTCCCTTCCGATGTTTCCGACGAACTGCATGGCCCCAGGTGGGGCCGAGAGCTACGTGTTCTGTTCCTTTGATGAGACCCCGCAGTACTCCATCCCGCTGATCTACGAGGCACTGCAGAAGGAGAGCCTAATGAGCAACAAGAGAACTCTAACGGTCGTGGAGCTGAAAGAGCGACTCAGTGTGTTCGTCAAGGCGAATGAATGCCTCGCAGCGTATGCAGGTGGTGTAAGGTTTATAGACGGCTGGTGTAGCCTCGCAAACATCTCCGTGACCGTGCATAATGGCATTAGTTATGAGCGTATTCTGTACATGGCGCAGTCTCTTCTGGAGAGCGTGCAACTGACATCATCTCTTACTGTTGCAGCGCAGGAGCAAATTGTGTACCAGCTGAGTCAAACTCTTGCAACACTTATGGCGCAACTAAAGCGAAAAATGTCTTTGAACAGCGGTAATAGCAAAATCAGTGGTGAAGGCAGCAAAAACCTCGCTGATGCACGCAGACCTCCTGATTCAACTGGCGTTATTGCACATGGTGGAGATGAAACTAAAATAAATGGCAGTGTGGTTGTACCGTGGCACTCACGGCCAGAATCGATAGACATTCCACAAGCCTCTGCCATCTCTCAAGCGGCACGTATGAGTGTAATGGATGCCACTGGAAGGACTAGACGCAGCGGTAAGAGAGACTTCACTGGAACTCTTGTTGTGAGTAAACAAGATGCAGTGGGCATGGTTGGGCGTTCACTCATTGCTTCAGAAACCTTGCAGCTACTAAAATCGTTGTTGGTGACAACAGTGCAGTGGGGTTCACGGGTGCCTTTAGCGCGGCAGCACTTTTATAACGCCATCCTGACCTTCCTTGGTATCCCTGGGGTTTCCGTGGATGATATTACGCTTCAACGCTACCACAGCGCTCTCTTCAGCGCTCTTGTACAAGATACAGCCACCACATCCCCTAGCTGTAATAAGCTTCCGGCCCTTGCTCTAATCACTCAGCTGCTGCATTTGTCCCCGCAACTGTGCGAGATGTTGTGCGTGCCACTGTCCGGTGATGGCGCTAGTTCAAATCTTATGGCGTGTATTACAAATGCCTTTCAGGCCATTGATGAGTCTATTTCTACGTTTTTTGGACATGGATGCGCCGATGCATCTTCCATTTTGTGGCTTTTACAAGTCGTCTTTGACCTGCTGATGATCGTATCTCAACAGCATGCTGTCCAGTTGCTGCAAATCAACGCTTTATCAAGATGCATGGCAATGAAGGTTTGGAAGACAAGCGCACGAGTTGCGTTGGGGCATGCTGACAATATAACAGACAATGTGGTATATGGATCCGACAGCATCGAGGTATACAAGAAGGTGATAAAGAACGTCCTGCTTTCAACCATACGTTGGTTCAATGCAGTCCTCTCTGCCTTGGACAACTCAGAGGTCGCTCTAATGCCAATAGCTGAATTCGTTCGTGCGAATCAGTTACTGTTTCAGAACGTACTCAGTTCCCCTTTGTCTGGCTCACACATGCGGCATATTGATTCACTCACCCTTGAGCTTTTCGGTGAGATTGGTGGTTTGCTCCTCCGGCTAGCGTGTTCACCGCTTGTGGACGAGTGCCGCACGCTGGTCCACCTCTTTGCACTTCCCGATCTACTTGCGGTGCTCACGAAGATTGATTTCATCGAGAGCCCCACCTTTGTCGCGGAATCCGTCACAGCATCCATGGCTGCATCTGTATCCACTTCAATAAGCCAAACGGCCTCTCTCCCTTCTGCAAGGCAGCGCCAGCAGATCGCAATTGCCCTGCAGAATATGCTCCAGTTCCTTGTACGAGTGGAGAATTTGGTGCCCCTCTATGCAGCGGGTGGAGAGAGAGCGGCAGCGGATGTAGAGGGACAATCGCCACGCCTCTCCAATGATGCAAGGAGCAGAATGCTCATATTCAAGGTGACGGAGCAGTTGGTCTCCATCATGGAGAGCTTTTACAACAACCAAGTCATACAGGTGGCGTGCTTTGTGCCCCATCTCATCGCACTTCATTGCCTCGTACTCTTGCTGCACGCATTTCTGCTCTCTGATCGGGTGTCATATGCGAAGAACATGCACAGCCAGTGGGCTGCTATTGTGCACGCCTTGGAGGGGGCACAGCGGGTCGTAAACATGTGGAAGGCCTTCCATTCGGACTACATGAAGGGACTCAAGCTGAATCGGGCAGGCGGCCGCTGGAGCGTTACGGCTCCATCTGTCAGCAATCAGTCCGTCTACCCGGCGATACGGGGCCCGCCACAGGACAAGAGCCATCGCACAGTGGCCTACAGCCATGTATCTGTTGACACGAGTGTTGTTAACCCCGCCGCATCTGCACGGATCGACGCCTCGGGACGAGGAGGCCTGCATCACGGGTCACACATCGATGTGGACCAGAGTTTCACCAACCGCCTTTCCACCGTGAGCGTTGCTGCTGATGCGGTGCGGCAGGTCAGAATGGGTGGTGTTGCTACCTCTATGATGGGGGAGGATACGACGGCGTTGCCGCCAGTTATTGTTGGTGGTGATTCTATTGGTGCGCTGGTGGAAGTGTCCCGCCGCGATGATGTTTCNCTTGAGGAGGAGGATTGGCCGGTGCATCCCGTCTGGGATGAGGTGCTGGGGATGGAGTCCCTTCTACGCCAGGTGAAGGTGGCGATTTCCAACGCGCTGCGAGTTGCCTCACACACATAACAGTGAGGAACAAAGAAAGAGAGATGAGGGGGGCTGGAATGCTGTGGTGGGGCGGGGCGTTTGTCAGAATTTGAGATGGAAATCCTTTTTTAGAGGTAAATGAGAATTCTATTTTCTAAGTAAGCCGTCACGAATAATGAGCATAGAACCTACCGGGGTGATATCTGTCGTATCAAATATCCCCTTTCTTTTTTGTTTGCTGCTTCTGACTTTGATCATACTCAATGACGGTGCAAGAATGGATACCACCATTCTCCATTTGCCTTTCCCACTGGGTTTCGTTTTTTTTTTGTTGCGTTTGTTGTAGATTATTATTATTATTATCCGATTGCACCGTCTCAAACCCGCGAACTTGGCGAGGAGGCCTCGCTTGGTTAACACACACATACACACACTCACCGATATATATATATATATATATAAGTATCAGTACCACCAGATGGACCCCGCTACACAGGATGCCATTGAAACAATGCGGCAGCTTCAGAAGTTGTCAAGAGAACTGCAGCCCGTCAAGACTGCACTGGCGGCGCTCCTAAAGCGTGAGCGTGTCAACCCTAACCCTCTAGCAGCAGCGGGGTCAGTGGACAAGATAGCCTTGCGCGTGCTCGATGTCTCCCGCAAGTACAGTGCGTTTTTTGATCGGGCATCTTACCTATTGAACTGTGAGTTGCCACGTCTGCAGCGTCTGACGCCACTCTTGGAGGTGTCCGAGAAAAATAGGGTTGATTCCGCTCAGAATGGCCACGAAAAAGCCGAGGTTCACCAGGACGCATTTCGGCACGTCTGCTCACCGAATGTGCCGCACATTATGCGGCCAATGAATTATCACATGGTTCAAGAGACGTTGCGGCTGCACATGGAGATGGTTGACTATCTCATCGCCACAGAGCGCTATCAGTTGGCGCGTCGTGTAGCAGACGCCTATGGGCTGCCGCTCTACTGGTTCCCGAAGTTAGTCACGCTTGCGCTTCCTGCATTGCCGCCGATTCAAGGTAATAGCAACAACAATACCACCACCAGTGAGGAAAGAGGACGAGACTCGGGCTCGCTCTCTGCATCCACCTTTGTCTCGCCGTTCCTTACAGCCACCGCCACAGAGGAAGCGCCGATGTCGATCCCCGCCGCTCTGGAACCCGTACAAATAGCGATTCAGTGCATTGAGGGGAGGCATTCCGTCACGGAGGCTATTGCGTACTGCGAGGAGCGGCTTTTATCTGCCTTGGAATGCATTGATACAGCTCAGCGGCGGAAAATAACGGAGGTGTTGGATGATTTGCTGATAGACCTTCACGCCACACGATTGCTGCAAATATATCGTGATGGGCGGGCAGACCAGCAAAGCATTATTCAGTACATCGCAGCTCATCTTCTACCGAGAGCCATGCACAGGCCCATATTTGTTCAGACCATTATTAACACCGTGACACTCCACGAGCCGTACACTTCGGAAATGTCACGCGCGGACGGCGGTGGTCAACGTTCACCAACGCCCAAATCCAAGAAAGTCATTGCAGCAAATAAGGACGCGGCACAGCTCGTGGCCTCCATGATGTCCGTGGAGGGTTACCATAAGCTCGCAATGTCGTTTCATAGGGTAGTCGTTCTGGTGGGCTCGCAGATGGTGGCCATGATTGGGTCTGTCCGGCGAGACTTGGGATTTGCCTCGGAGGAGAATGACCAGATGAACGAGTGGAGGCACACGCTTCCGGATCTCGCCACTCGCATTGTTGCCACCTCCATCTTTCTAAAGGACGAGTATCTTGACCGCATGGTGGTGGAGCGGCGCGCCAGTGTGGGTCCACTCGTCGCGCCCATTTCGGAGAGTCACTTGAACACGCAGTCGGGTTCAGCCGCATTCGATGAGGCTATGATAGCCGTCGTGGAGGAAACACTGAGCCGACTTCCGGGACTGAGGCCGCACAGCAGCAGCAATAGCAATAGTAACAACCTGGCCCCTCTTACCGCCACAGAGCTTCTTGCAGCGGAGGAAGAGTGGAGCAACAATGTTCTCTTCATTAAGCGGCCCACGCGCTTCTATTGCTACTTCACAAAGGAATGTTTTGATGGAGGAACGGGAGGAAATTACCCAATTGCGCTTCCTAATGGCACCGTTGTGTCCAAGGTCGCGATGATGCAGAGCTGTTTGAAAAAAACCGGCGAGGGTGACCGCTCCCAGTCAATTGTGGTGTGTCCACGAACAAAAGAGGAGTTCTCCTTCTCGTCATTGAAACGCATATTCGTGACGTGAGAAAAGGTCTTTGCCTATATATAT